GGTTTTTACTATGAAATAAATTTATTTTTCTAATCTATTGAATATAAAACAACCTTCACTTGTCGGTTATATTAAAAGATTAGATTATGTAAGAATTGATCGATCATTTATCAAACAGAAACTTGATATGTCTTAATACTTTCATAAATAGTGACATAAGTACAAAGATAAACTATGTCGAAAGATGAACATTAGACAATTCTTTTTTTTTTTTTATAAGACTAAAAGCTAAATGAACCCTTGAAGCAATATAATAATTGAAACTTCTGTTTATCGAGTGAATGCAAAAAGGAATTGAGGTAGTTACGAAATAAGAATAATACTTACTGAAGTATGTGATTTTTGTGATCGACGATCAGTTTCAAAACCACCTGATTGTACATCCATATTTTCATTTAAACTTCCAGTCATAATTGGACTATGTGATGATAATAATGGTGATAAAAGTCCAGCACCAATTGATGATGTTGGTGTTGATGATGTTATTTGTCCATCAAAACTTGTACTTAATCGAAGACGTCTTTCTCTATCAATAGCTCGTTTCATTTTATATGCTTCTAAAGTAGGTGACATATGTATATCTTGTATATCTTCATATGTATATGAACGCATATTACTACGTGTTTGAAAATTTCGATTTTCTTCGCGTCGTAAATCATCTAAATATGTTGATGAAAAACAACGTATTAAATCATAATTTAATTCACGTTGTAATGATTGATTTTCAAGTGAACGTAAATATCGATGAAAAGTTTGATCTAATTGTTTAATACGATTAACATCAGCTAAATAATTACCATCAAGTAAACTTTTATTAACATTTTTCATAATTTGTGTATGTGTACGATTTGTATTTAAACCACGATTATATATAAATGGACGTTTTTGTTGTTCATCATCATCACTATCCATTGGATAATCAATAGGTGGTTCTTCTTGTGCATAATATTGACTAATATAATCATGTTGTTGTTGAAATGGTATTGGTGGTGAAAGAATTTGTTGTTGTTGAAGATATTTTTGATTTGTTGATGAAACAAGACGATCAACTGATTGTTGAAATGCTTGTGGTGAACGTCCACGTTTTTTACCAGCTAAACGTTCCCGTGCTTCATCTAAATATGAACGTTGTGTTGATGATGGATCAAAACGAACATTTTGAATTTTATTTGGTGGTGATCGTCTTAATGTTGATAATGAACCATTTGTTGATGTTATTGTATCCATACGTACTGGTGAACGTTTTGTTGTTTGTCGATGTTCAGGACTTGTACTTGATGTACGTGGACGTTTTAATTGTGAACTTGGTGATAAATCAGTTATGCTATCAAAGACAATTTGTGGTTGCTGACGTTGATGTATCCATGCATCTTGACAGAAAAAAAACAAAAAGAATAGGATAAGATTAAGTTATTTAGAAAGGATGCCCAGTCCATACGAGACTAATAAAAATAGCAACTTGAATTTATCTTTCCTTTATCTTTTTTTTCTGCTTTATTTGTCTTTGGTAACTACGTCAATCTTACCTTCTGGGTTAGCTGGTGATGTTAGAGTTGAATGTGGATGAGATTCTGTCGTCTTTGAAAACAGATAAGGTGTATCAGGTATAATAGACGTTGGTTGTATTGACTTTGTTATTGGTAATAAAGTTTTATCAGTCGTTGATGATGTTCCATTAATAAAAGTTATTTTATGTGATTCTAATCCATTACCAGAACGAATATATGTTAATGTTTGTTGTGGTTGTTTAGTTGAATCATTTGAAGGAAAATAATATCGATCAGAATCTGTTGAATGTGATCGTGCTTCAGTATGTTCATTAGGAAATTTATAAATATTATTATTATTTTGATCAGTTGTACCAGATGAAAATTTATAACGTTTTCTTGCTGATGGTGGTGTTGATGATGATGATGTTGGAATATTGTGTAATTTAGTTTTTTTTGTTGTTGTTGATGATTTTCTTGATAGTCGATTATCATTTGAAGGTGAACGAAATAGATAACGATCAGTAATATGTGCTGGTGATGGTGGTGGTAAAGCTGATGTTGACATCTTTTGATTATTATTAGAATTATAAACGTTATCCAAACGAGAAAGTAAACGTTTGAATTTTTCTAATTGTTCAACTTTATTTTTAACTAATGGTAAATGTGCTTCGAGTGTAAAATAATTTGCACTCGTATTAGTTAATGAAGATGATGATGGTGAACTAAATAATGATGACGATGAAGAGGATAACGAAGAAGGATCAGCTAATGATTGTTGATTATCTGAAGAGCCGTTCACTAACTAGAAAAAATATTATTCATGTAATAGTGACTGATTAACTTGTAGTTGATGTGTCACAGCTGCCTCTTAGCATGGTTTCAAAAAAAAAGGGGAATACAGAAATGAAAAGGAACACAATGAGCAAAGGGAAAAAAATGTAAAAAAAAAAAAAGTTGGGTGCACTGGGCTTCTACCGTTATTTTATTCTTTATTTCTTCTCGATTTTTTCTTTTTTTTTTGCAGTTCGACGCGTGTTCTTTTCTATCCTACGACAATGTAATGGGAGTGAAGAATGAAGAAGTTCTTCTTTTTTTTTCTACTATTTTATGTCAAGTTCGAGGTATAAAAAGTGTGCAAAAGTAAAAATGAAGAGTGAAAGAAAGAACTGTCTCTACATAAGATTGAACTTTTTCTTTCTCTATGTTCATGCATTGACAAACGTAATGAGAAAATCATTAACCTTCATGGTACCATTGTATTCAAACCCTCAAGCTTAAATATGAATGAAAGCGCATGTTTGCCGTCAACTCTTGAAATAAAAGATGAAGAATACGAAGACATTTTGTGTGTTCTATTTGCTTTTCTTTGCTTCTTCAAGTTATGTGTGTGCATGTGTGGGGATTGTAAAGAGATGATGCCTGCAAAACATTACCGCCACAAAAGCAGCAATAACCTCGAAGGTGAATTCCAGTAAAAATAACATCAAGTGACAAAAAGAAGAAGAGAAAAAGTTTCATTTATTTTTCCAACATACAGGTATTTCATTTTCTATTGTTTCTTAATTATAAACATATTACAATAAATAACAATAAAACTTACCATTGTGCTCGGTGAAGATATTTCAAAATTCATGTTCATTCAAACAAAATCTTACTATGTACTGTTTGTTTAATCGGGTATAATCGTAATCGCCTTGACCACACACGCACAAAAATAAGATAAAGAAAGAAAAGATGAGTCTATGTATGTGTCTACTATTCGATGGTCAAAGACAACAACGGAAAAAGAGAGAGAGAGAGAAAGCGACAAGAAAGGAAAAGGGATGAGTTGTAAAAAAAAGATAAAATCAATGCTTGAAACTAATCAAAGCCATATTTATGTATGAAGAACGAGAAAGAGAAATATCAACGAAAAAATCTTTAAGTCGCATGTAAACAAGATGAACGCGCGTACATTCGTTCATGTTCATGTATATGTAGAAGACAATGAATATGAATAGATAAGGTAATGAACATATACATTTCGTTCTCTTTCGATAATTCGCACGAAAACATTGAAGAAAAGATCGGCTGTCTGTCTATTGCTTTCAATGACCTTCAGGATATATGAGCAGACGTACGAGACAGCAAAAGCATGTGATTGAATGAAACCAAGGAAGATCAAAATCAATATTTTCCTTACGTGTATAAACCATCTATGAGCAACAGAAACCAAATCTCAACTTTGTTCCTTTCATTTATCCCTGTCGTTTTATTTCTTTCTCTCTTCTCCTTTTTTTTTCTTCTTATCAATCAAAAAGCTAGTTACAAGTGTTCTATTGGTAACTTGTGATTTTATTTTTGTCAACTAGACGACGATTGTAAAAAATTAGAAATGTAAAATGATGACAACCGCAACGACAACAAACGTTTTACTACTATGCATATTTGAATATGGTCTATTACACTATTTATTTGTTATTTTTTTTTCTGCGGTAGTATATATATATTCTTTCTTTCATTTTTATTTCTCTCATTTCATTTGTCGATTCTTTAGAAATTAAATCGCCTTTTCTTTCTTTCAGTTTTCAAGTACAGTATGCAAAGAAGAAAAGCAAAAAAATGCAAAAGAGAAAAAGAAAATAAAAACATACATGAGTGTATATACACGAGCGTAGAGCGCATACATTCGCATGCGTAAACGAAGCCGCATTTAGTACCTTTCTTGTAATGGTCAAATGAACTAAGAACGATAAGTACGGATTGAGTTCAACGGCGCAAACAGAACATGCAACCATGCATATTCTTTCTTTGTTCTCTTTATTTCCATCGATTAGAAAAAAAAAGAGCATTTATTCTGACTCAATAACTTTACATCTGAATCTTAACTTAATTTCAAATCCATAAAAGAATTTTTAATATTCCGAATTGTTTCGATTCAAATTGATGATTAATCATGATTATTTACTCGACATAAAGCCAAGAGACATTTTAGTATTTTTTTTTTTGAAATATTATTTCACCTTCAGCATTCTTTTTGAAACAACAACAAATAAAAAAAGAGTAATAGTGACGCAACATATTCGCTTTGAAAAATGAGTGTCGGCATGTAACAATACACACACACACACACACTCACGCACGTTACACTTGAATTTTTTCGCTTCAATACTACTGCTCCTACTGCCTTTGTTTCGCGTCTTCTTATGAATGTTTTTACACTAGCAAATTCATTCGTTTGTATAAGTGCTTGTGTCTTCTTTCGAAAACAATCACACTTCACTAACCGCTCGCTGTTATTTACTCAGCATGTGCTCTAAATCTTACGTGACGTTCAATCAGTTAGAATCGATAACTTATCGAACTATGAACACATACCCATATTGAATAGGTTCAATAAAGTAACAAAGAAAACTTATTTACCTGTCGGTCAATACCTCTTCGAGTTTGAGTAATCAAAAAGAATAACGACGACGATAAGAAATAATCGTCGATACGAAGAACAAAGAAAAAGATATTAAAGTTAATTTGAGAAGCAGTCAAATTGAATTATTGTTCCCAGTTGGTGACTGCTTCTCGTCGTACGTATTCAAATAATAGTAAAAGAAAAAAAAAGAAATAAAATGAAGACGAAAAAAGAAAAAAGAAAATTTATACATTCAGTGCTATTACTTTTTACAATCATCACTACGCCTACATACCTTCTATTCTTGCTGCCAACACATTTCGTTCTTTAACAAAATGTACACCGTCTTTATAAAATAAATATTATGTGCACAATTCATCACACATACATAAGCCGGATGCCAACGCTCACCACAAACTAGTCAGGATTCACTCTCTCCTCTCTTTCTCTCTTCCTACCTCGTCTTTCTTTTACTTTATAAAACATAGCAAAGAATTGCGGAATAAAAAAATAATTGAGTAATTCATGTACGCGCGCATTCGTTCGTGTGTGTATGTACGTTTATTGTCATTTCATCTCAAGTCAATATTGAACCTGGCTTATCGTTGTTCAACAGATGATACTACTCCAGTGTCGTTCTTTTTCTTTTCTCTCCTTCTCTGTCAAATTATCAAAAGATTACTTGAATTTCGTAGTGATCGCAGTCTTCTTTATTCTTTTTTTTTTGACCGCTTATGTCATTATAACAAGAGACTCAATAATCGTCGAAACTAGAATAGTAATAGGCAAATGACTTTAAACTGTAATTTTGGCTTTTGTATATGTACGTAGTTACATGATTTCTCTCTGTTACTTCTCTTTTTTGGAGGGCGATGAATCGAGTTTGAATGTACACTACGTTCGAAGGTCAATTTTGTAGTTCTTCGTTCGATAATTTGTGCCATATACATACATACATATATATATATATATATGTGTGTGTGTGACCTGAATTTCGAGACAATGATAATCTGTAAGTTCTATAGAATGACGAAACAATATCAATTTATTGTTACCATAGACCGAACAAAAATAACGAATTTGGACACCTAGAGAGATATTCAATTTCAGTTCGAGCCTAAAAATCGTTACGTCCTGTATGTATGACATAACTAGCAAATATTCACAAGTAGAAAGAAGGAGGTACTCCGCCCATCAACTTCCACTTGAAAATAAGAGTGAGAAAATGAAGAGTACGTATGCGAACATGCATGTATGTATACAAGTTTTAATACCACTTACTTCATTTACGATCGATTGTGACACCGTTGTTGACTGAGGATACGGACGCTGATGCTGTCGACAAGCATATAACGACATTGGTGATGAAGGTAGTTTAAAAGAGTATAATGTACGAAGTAATGCATCAGCATAAGTATCAGCTTTTGATAATGGACAATCTACATTAAAATTTGTTGTTTGTGATATTGTAGTCAAACGTGGCATTGTGTCTTATAGTGTTTTTTTCTTTTCTATTGTGTGAAATTGTTGATTAAAAATATCTTAAAGAGTAAAATGTTTTTTTTTTTATATAAATCAACCTTGAATAGAATAACAGCTATGCATTGTAAATGAAATATTTTAAATATATAATAGAGACTGTGTAACTGGACGGATCAAATAGAATTTTATAGCTATATGGAATATAGTCATTCTTATAGTCTATTTAACAAAACAAAAAACAAAAAATTTGACGTTCAAACATTATAAATATGATCAATGAACTTACTTGACGTTTCATTTTTGAATGAACAACTTGTCAAATCATTTTTTTAGGCAATTATATTCACTCAAATCTCAAACAATGAACAAACTAATTGATCTATATCATATTATATATGTATGCTTAACTGTCTATTACTTATAAGAAAATGGTACCATCTTTTCGAGTCATGAGAGCTTGCATACGTTCATAGTACGTGTCACTTACTCAATGAGACAATTGACTAGACGAAAAAAAAAAGCAAAGAATATGACTAAAATATATATGTACACAAACTATTGAGCAACTGCGACAGACAATTAACCTCCTTGACGAGCGTATAGTTCAGTAGTCAACGTTAAATATATATGTATATACATATACACTTGTCCCTCCCAGATGTGCACGACCCTTCGTAGATATGTCCACACCCATCTATATATATGTATACAGTAAAGATGTCTAACGATGGTAATTTTTTTCTTTTTACGGTTTTTTTATGGATATAAATAGATGTGTCTATCGACTGAACGGAAGATCTTTACTTGCTTATTTAGAGATATACATTTGACGGATCGTTGACTATTCAACGTATACCTCAATTATCTAATGAGGCTGACTATGTGCATTCACGCGCACCATGTCGTGCGACGATGGTTTAATAGTGATAAGACAAAAAAAAAGTTGATTGACCAAGTGCGTGTTTATGCACAGAAGGAATGGTAATTATCAAACTGTCAATCGAAACATTCTTTTTTTTTGCTCATTTTTTTGTCAATCTTGAACTAATGACATTGTCATTTATGGCAAGATAGTGTTAGAAGGTGACAAAACGTCAGCTGAACGTGCCATAGACTATATGAACTGTATGAGAAATGAAATAACATCTTTGTACGTGTGCAATTTAGAAAAAATTCATGTTTGTGAAACCAATTTTGATAAAACAATTAATACTTATTCTAATATAATAATTTCTATTGAAACAGCATGAACTTTCATACAATTTAGTAATATTTGATTTATTAAGAAATAAATAATTGACCTTCTTTTTGCTATCAATAGACTTCTTTCTGTAGTTTCAAGGACTTTATCAAAAAAGTTTTATATGGTATAATTAGAAGGTAAATTTTCAAAATACTATGTTTTATAATAAATTTTTATCGTCAAATAAATGTATGCACGGGGAAGGATGTAGCAACATTACAAGGAGTAGCAATTGCTTCTCTTAAAAAAGAATTTACGAAAGCAATAGGAGCTTATTGCTTTTCAAAATAGTTAATGTCTCCTGTTTATACTTATGTAAGACTACTTAATCGGACACACACAGCAGGTGCCAAAATGATTCGACAAGGTTTGTTTTCAATTTTTTCTACTGTTCTTAGTATTAAAAAGCACTCAAATAGTGATTTGAATAGAGAAAATTATTTTCAAGAAAGCATATAAAAAAATTAAATTTATTATCAGATTCTTAAAGATGGAAACTCTAGGAAATCAAAAGGCTAGTTTTTCAATACCTACAACGGGTACCTATAATTCACTTTAGACCATATAGAATGAGAGAAAAAACAATTCTCTACAAAATGACATGTCTCCAAGTTCTCTGTGACCTATTTTACTGGAGATACAGTAATCTTACAGAATCTCCGATAATTGTTATCGTTATTTTGATGAATACACTTCCTTTCATACATATTCGACATGTCATTATTTAAATAATACATAATCCATATTTTGATGTTTTTGAACTGAGTCTCTGCATCGCACATCATCCGATAACTGAATACCATCAAAGAAAAAAATAGAAGAAAACATCTGTTAACTTTCACAAATGATGATTGCGAAGAAAAAAGTCAGCACTATTTAATATCTCTAATTGTCGTCATTATATGCATTTTCATCATCTTCACGCGCCGTTAAATTACATAATATTGTCATACAGATAAACTGTTGCTATTTTATGTGAGAAAGAATTTTCGCAATAAGAGTTAAAAGTGACCAGACAGATTTAGGTTCAATTTTTTCTTCGTAATAATTCAAACAGTATTCCAAAAATACTGGAATCTCTAGGAAACCCAAAACTTTGTTGATCAGGGTACAGAATTCAAAAACACGTTTCTTTTAATTATATAGAGCATCGAAGACATTCATTCGTTACAAAATGAAATGCTCTCAATCTTTCAACAACATTTTTCAAATGAACTAGATCGATATTAAGAAACACACAAAGATAGATTTTATTAGCTATTTCCTAAGTTAAAAATGGACAAAAAAAGATTTTTGGGATGTTCTTAAAATATATGTGATTCCATGAAAAATATGTCACGAAGTTCTCGAAGATGTTTTGTCATCCCGTGAAATCAAAAAAAGTTTATATTTTCGAGTTTTGGGTGGTGACAAACTAGGTTTGTGATTTTCTAGATATTTTGAAATTTTGGAATACTGTGACCAGTTGTTTTTCTTCAAATCCTTGTTGGAAACAATTTTCTTTATTCAAGTCCCTATTCAGATTCTTTATGCCAGTCACCATTACAGAAAACAATTGAGATTAAATCTGTATGATGAATTAGCGAAGCGGTTGAATATGCCAGCCAAAAATAAAATTTTAGAGTTTTTCGCAGTCGACAAAATTTGACTCCGTATTGCTCTATTTCAAACCCTTTCCTGTGTCACAATAAGCAGTCTTCAAATTTAACCAGTGAATCAAGATTAATAGCATGACAGTAAATCGGCTTTCATTTCCTTAAGACTGATTATATTATACTTAATGACCTTGGTCAACGGAATTGAATACTAATTAAACAGGGCTTAATGGGCGAGGTGCAATGATTAATCTTCTTTACTGTCAGCTACCAGAAAAAGTGTGTTTGCCATTCGATATTCGTAGTTTATTTGTATTTTCTCGTTACAAAAATTAAAAATACAAATGGTTGAAAGAAAAACCTATCTTTTATCCTGCTGATCGTTATGTCTAAAATATTTTCCAGAAAAAAATAATTGTTACAATTTTGGATAAATTTTTACATGAATCTCAAGACGAAAACATAATAGTCATTAAACAGAACACAAGGGACAACTTTTATCGAGTTTATAAGCATGACTTATTTTCTGTCAAAAATGATTTGTTTTTTCATAGAAATATTAACTTCTTGTACTCAAAAATGAGATTGATGGAAAAAAGAACATTTGTGATGAGAAATTATAGAGGAAGAACCCTTACCTCAAACTCCTGTGAAAAATAAATTTTATTTTAAAAATTGACAAACAGAAGAAAAACATTCTCTGAAAGTCTTGTTGATGTCGAATTTAGTGAAAAAAAATGACTGCCAACTTTCCTGAAGATATCTTTTCGGATAAATCAATACAGTAAAATTTCTAGTTTTGAACCAGAGACCAAAACAGTGAGAATATTTTGTTTCTCGTGTCAAAGAAAGCTGTCCTTGTCTCATCTGACTGTAATAATTTTCTTTCTTACCCGCTTCACTCTGATCTTAATTTTTCTCTTCACTACCTCATCACGTCTTTATGAGATGTTTGTATCTCTTGGTCATATGATTTATTTGACTACATTATGTAAAAAGATAGACAAAAGAACACTGAGATGATATAGGTCGAGATCAATCAACCTTTTAGTTGGTTATTATTATCTATCGAACGAAGAAATAAAATATTATGAACAACTGTTAGGCCTAAATTAGACGTTCTTTACTTGACAACTTGACTTGCTCCCAAAAAAGTCTCGACAGCAGTTGATCTGCATGGTATTGTGTATATGCGACATACTAATGAAGCTCTCTTCGCTCGCCTTGCTTTGCGCCATTTCAATCTCTGTTTCAGGCTATTTAAGCTTTATTGTCTATCTCTTTGTATTTTTCATGAAAAAAATGATATTTTCCTTTTAAGGATGTTGCAATTTGACTTTTTCTACAAGAAAGTTTTTTGAAACATGTTTTTAACCCCAAAACTGGTCTATTATCAAAGTGTATACACATTACTATTCAAATCTCGAAAAAGTTCACTTTTCATTTTTTGCATCTGATGTTCATGTTGTTGCCCACTATGCGGAAGGAAGATAATGGGTAAAAACAAAGTTGAATTTTTTCTAAATTGCTTTGAGGAACTCTTTCAAAAAAAAAGTGGCACACTCATTTGAAGTACGTAGTACTCTGTCACAAGATGCGATGCTCGAGCTTCCATTATTATGCCTCTGAGAAAAATTTGAATACAAGCGATAAAAGTTTTGTTGCTACAATGTTTTCTATTGAAGGAAAACCAACAAAATAGAAATTGCGCCGCCTATTAATGTATGTCAATTATTTCAAAAAAATTTCGTAAGTTTTACATCTAGTTGCGACAAAAGACATTGTCGTTGCCTGATAAAGCAAAAAAAGACTATCATCATGCTGGTCATGATGATGTGCAAATATTATTATTTTATATTTATCTTATCTTTGGTGTATAAAAACCGACAAATAAGCAAAAAAACATACTGCACTTATCACTAAGAATTTTAAGCAAACAACAAAATGGAGTTTAAAACTATTTTTGTATTATTTGGTGTAATTCTTGTTGGTTATACATCAGCTCAAGTACCGATACCATCTCATCCTGATGGATATGGAGTTGGTGGACCAGCTGATGCACATGTTGTTGTCGAAATGTTTCTAGATCCACTTTGTCCAGATTGTAAAGCTTCGTGGCCAACTGTTTTACAAGTTATTCAGGTTTATGGCACAAAAATTCATTT